CGAGAAAATTATTCACTGTCCGGCGGGATTATTTAAGGCTACACGTTTTCTTGAATAATGTGCAACTCGATGAGCCGAATCCGAGGCACGGTTCGAGGCGGGATCCATCTTACGCTTATTGGCGAAATGCCATAAAACAAGTGTGCGATGATGGGAACCGAGGTAAAAGTCGTATCGCGCCCGCTCATATCGAGGATCCACCGATGCGTTTATTTTCAGAGATTTGTCTTTTGCTCCCTCAGCGTAAGACACAACGACCGTGAGTTGTTCATTGGTCAATGAAGAGAAAGGAAAAAAAAAATAATACGACGGAAGATTGAATTTAAGACGAATCGTAATGACAAAACTGTGTGTTGACTTACGATTTAACGCTTGACCTTTGAAAACAAGATTCTCCCTTAATATCGCGATCGCTTCTGCAAACAGTTTGTAGATTTATCTCAAGCAAACAGATTTCTTCAGATACATTTACATTATTTCGCGCGACACTCGATCTTAATTGAATTCGCCCACATTTCAAAGGTATCGATGCAAGATACTTTGCAGTTCTGTTTTAAAACAGATTAATTACGTTGATGTGAAAAAATAATTACTTAATATATAAATCTTGAGTAATGAATTATATAAAGAGATAATATGCGCTATATAGAATGTAACTCGCAACAAGTAGAATGCAATTGCATTTTTAATTGATTTTATTCGCACAATGAGGCTTTCTAAATTTTTACGAGTCAAGCTCGCCATACATAAAGTTCCCAAGAACATTGCAGTCATTGTTATTCGAAGAAATATATGCAGTTCGAGCGACTAACCTTTCGGTTCCAACACACACGGTAGATTTTCATAGCAAACACGGCGGGAATGTGAAGTGTGCTTGCTCGCTTTCCATTCTTCCGCCGCTTCGTCCTCGGCTTTCGTCGATCATCTCGCTACGATCTACGATCGGTCGCGACGCCGCTGCCCAGGGAGAAACGAGTCGTGCGCGATAATTACGATAAAACCGACGGCGGCGCGGAGCGGAGTTAATTATTCAACGCCACGCGTGCGCGCCCACGTCGTGTCCCACAAAGGGAAATGCCTCGAGGCGATAGCCCTTCGATTTCGATGAAACGCGCGTCCGCTAATAAAGAACGGTGGGACACGTAACGCTCGGCGACGCGAGTCAAAGTTTCACAGAGTGAATGACACGAGGAAACCGCCTTCGACATAGGTCGGTCGGGATCGTCATCATAACTCTCGATGATTAACGGAGAATTTGTTCTACGGGCGCAAAGCTAAACGGTCCGTTATTTATTTCATATGCTGTGGAACCTTTCGTATTTTATTGTAGCGTACTGTGATTTTTTTCTTTCGAATTTTTTTCAAGCACAAGCGTAAGAAAGAATGAGTTAGTGTTCTTATTAATTATTCAGAGAGTGATAATTTTTTAGCAGGCAATATTATATGCTAATATTACATTGCATTGGCTTAAAATGCCTTATTACACATGAAAAATATTACTTATTCTTATTCGACGAAAACGACAGACAAGGTTTTTTTTGCTTTTAGAGAGATATATCTCAATGTCATATTTAAAAAAAACCAACAATATTTACTTTTGCTGTATTATGTGATAAATTGTCCCGGAGTCAATAAGAAGCTGTGGATTTTATTTCTTTACTTGCGATTTTAAAGGAAATTCTCGAAACTCGATAAACACGCAGAATACGTTCCACTTTTCAAAATTCCTTGTGTCATAATAAAATCTCTCTTGAATAATTTTCTATACTGTGCGCAAGAAAACATGTGTCTTCTGCTGTGATTCTTGCCACGGACATTTCGGCAAAATCGAACAGCCATCAATGTGAAATTAGTATAAATCGATCGTCTCGTTGATTCGCGAAAGATTTAGCCAGCCGCCGGCGCGATTTGCCGCGGGCGGTCTACAATCATTCGTGACTTTGTGGGCGAAGAGGGTTGAAATCATTCGCCGAGGAAGAGAGTAGAAAGTTATCCTTTACCGGATCGACTACCAGCACATTGAAATCGACTCGTCGGAAAAAAAGGGGCGGACGTGGGCAGTCATTTGTTGCTGTTTATTAATTCGAGGCGAGGCGAGATGCGTCCACTTTGTGCTCTTCGGTTGCTCGTTTCGCCCACGTGCTTTGTCACTGTGTTCTATCCGACACGCACGCGGGCATACATACGCGCGCGATGATAATGCGGAACATCACGAATAAAATACACGCAGAGAAAGGAAGAAAAAAAAAAGAGGAAGGAGGAAAGAGACGAGCGCGGAATCTTCGAAACTGCGGGATGAAGATTTTCGGAGACACCAAATAGCGCGGGATGCGCGCAGCGCGCGGAGGGTATCGCGAAGGGTATCATAAAGGGATAAAAGCGTTGCTACTAAAATGTTGTTGCCATTTCGCCATTATTTTTTTTTTTTTTTTACTGACCGCGAGTATCTGTGATGTTATTTTATTGGTGACAAGCGTAATGAGGCGTCCGCCGACTAATCGTGCGACGGTATTCCGGGTCGTTAATAATAACGATTTTATTATGCAGCATGAATTATCGCTCGTAAGAAAGCACGATTAATGATGTATGGTATGTGCATATATTACCTGATGATATCACTCGTAAATTTAGGAAATTAATTTTGTCGGACATATTACGCGACTATGAAAGATAAATAAATATCGTCGGTATTCGAGCAGAAGTCATTAAAGTTCGAAACAGCCACATTTGAATGTTACGCATTAGCATTTATACTAATATTAATTAAGATATTTATCTTTTCCTACGTGGACAAGCAAAATGTATTAAACCCGATCTACATTTGTCGTCGTATTTCAGAAACTACAAATTTTTACCAAGCTGTCACATGATCGCAGACAAGTGTAATTTTGCGCGGTCAATAATTTGTTCATTATGTCACTTGTGAAAATAGAAACTATTACAATATTCCGGTGAGAGCATTTCGTAGCATTTATTAAGTGCGGCACACCTGACTTTTATAACGGCTGTAAAGCTATAATTACATTTGTGTCCCAAAATCGTGTTTTTAGACTTGTTAATGGATTCTTGCCAGAGAGAACAGCAACATGATGCGGATGGAAAGCTATTTGAAGGATCGTGTATATAAAGGAGATATGTCACTTATCGATTCATCCAATCTTATCTCGAGAAGCTATAGATATCTTTAATCTTTGATTTGCTTTACGGAACCACAAAGCAAACCTCACAATGGACAAAAATTCCACACATTTGTTTTGATGATGATAATAAATATGATGCATTTTTCTTTTCGGGGCGTTAGAGGACATTAAAAATAACTGTCTAAAGGCATCCGCGTGTTAAACCACCCACGTTCCGTCTCACGTTACGACCGCGTATCTCTTTTAACGCGGCGAGAAATCGCTCAGCCGATACTCAAATACGCCGTTATACAAAGCTTCTTTTTTTCAGATTTTCGCAGGAACGTATCGTATCGACGGAAATAGCCACTCGGTAACCGAAACAACTGGCAGCAGAGCAAATCGCATTTATTATACGAAAAATAGACAGACTTTCTTCGTCGTCTAAAATTAATTTTAATGGATTTTGTCTAGCTCGCAAATTACATGTAGGAATGATTTTTTTATCGCATATTAAAATAAAGTGTCATTTTCTACGTTTTTTGGCTCCACGCCACACGTTTCTCTTACCGTCAAAAGGGGCGACATTAATTATTCTAACTCTTTCTAGGTTAATCGTATTTTAAAATCACATATTTATTTATTACCTTCAAAATTAATTTTTAAAAAGTCTTCTGCTATTCTGTAGCTGTAAAATAATAAAACTGCACAATTATAAATAAAATAAAGTTAGAAAGATAAAAAGAACAAAAAAAATGCATGCATTAAAGTTTCGATAAGTTATGCACACATCGTCACGCTGCAGTTATTTAAAACAAAAAAAAATAGGCTACATGTGATAAATACACTGCACATCGAAATTTTCGATCGTGACTTTAAACCTCGACTTTGTGAACAATTCTCCGAGTCCGAGAACGCGTACGTGCGCTCCTGCATTATAGAGTGGCAGTTTCACGACTCTATCGTGAAGAAGGGCGAGAATTACAGTCCATACTGTAAAGCTTAACAAATATCCTGATCAGGATGCGTCGCGGATAACGAGGTCGGACCTTGGAAGCACTTCCCGCGCCCGGCGAGGGACGTCGATGGTTATTATGGACAACGCCACGGGGACCCGTAATATGGCCGTTGCGTTGCTGTAGGTCCGCAAACTCCCCCCTCCCCCTCCTTTCTCCCCTTTTTCTTCTCCTTCTCTCCTTCGCGCGTTCTCTTAACGGCTGTAAAAAATGATCCTCGTGGCGAAGGACATGTAAATTTATGAAGACCCGGACCTCGCGCGGTCGCGGCCGATCCCTGCGGCCGATTCAGCGCCGCATTGTTATGCTAACAATTAATTAATGTTGCTTTAATTGTGCTAGCAGCACGTCACGTTTCCTTCCTTTTTTCCCCTCCCACTCACGCGCTCATCGCGCTTCCTTCTTTCCTCAGCATCTGTCCTCTCTTCTTAACGCTTTCGAGAGACGGAAATTATGCTGATTAAGACGATCCATTGTTTCTGCCGCCCATTGTTATGTCTTCAGGTGCTTAAGGAACCACTTTAAAGGGACTCGCCGCATTTTTCTACGTATGAGAATGATTAGAAACGGGGTCCGCTTTGTGCTTTATTGTCTCGCGACGCGCATTGTGGGCCTCGCTGCCGTCTCTCGTCTTTACGCAACGCTAAGAAGCGCCATTGTCAGTTTGATTAATTACTGTTTCGTAATTAACTGTTTTGGGACAGACACTCGCATCTCGAAACGAATTATAATTAAAATTTATTTAGCATTCTTTCAGAATTTTGTTTTCGAATATTGACGAACGACAAATGCATCATATTCAAATTATGACTGGCATCGAAGGTGTTCGTGCACTAATCACTCATCTTATTTTCTTTTGTTGCAGGACATAAGGAAGCCTGAAGGAGCGTAGATGAGTTCTACTGTCTGCGTCTTCGGTGAGTCGCACAAGTTTAAGCATTGCAAATATAGAGATCGCGTAAAATGTGTCACGCACGAAACGTGCAGGGGGTCCTTTCCGCTTTCGCATCCCGTTCTCGTCGGGGACTCGCGGCGCAACCGGCTAATTATACACGCAGCGCGAATGCCGTAACTCCAGATGCCGGATGTGTCACCAAAATGTTTAACAACTCTTCGCCTACGCGAACATTAACGACCGCGCTATCCGATTTCGCGCTTTGAACATTTTATCGGCTTTACATTTTCCGGTCTTGGCCCTAGGAATGCACCCGGAGGGGGAAGGAGGGTGTATCTTTGATTGCGCGCATCATCGAGCAGAACAAGTTTGAGAAACATTTTTTAATCGGTTAATTTAAAAACACTTCCTTTTCGAATATTTTATTTATTATTATCGCACAAACGTCAGATCAGAATCTAGATCTATGCTTTCAAAATAAATTCCATTATATAGTTTTAAAAAATTTTTAAATTATTTTATTTTTAAATTGATTAATCTATTCTTATGATAGAATTTTATTTCATTACAGCAAGCATTGACAGAGACAGATATTGTTAGACATATTATTAGATAGCAATTAAGATACGAAGCAATTCGATTCTGCAGATGTCTTCGAGATTAGGTAAGCATATCTTTGCGAGATGACTTGCGTTTTTTACATAATTATTCTGTTATGAATATTGATATAATGCCGATACGACACGTGGCCGACACGAAATATGTCATACTGAATTCTAGGAATTTCTGACACTCACACATTTGTCTTGCTATGGTAACCACTTATTATACGGATTTTACACTCATAAACAGTTTTTATAATCTTCGTGTAGCGCTAGATCGTTTTCTAGATTTTATAAATTACAGACGCTTCAGTTGGAACTTTTGTTCAACTATGTGAATATGGTAAAAGTTGCTGAACTATGTATCTATAATCTGCTCGGTGAATTTAAGTTGACGAATTTACAACTCTCGTAAACATCGGCGAGATCATAAAATTTCGACCGCGCGATTATCGTCGGGATCGTTCCGCTTGCTTTTTTCCTCTTGCTGTTAGCAGGCATGCGTGCATCTGCATTCGCAACTCTATATCGAAGCTGCACTCGCCGTGGCGCGTTCACGAGGAAAGTGCCGGATTGAGAAATAATTAGCAATCAGGCCGTTTGACGTATTCGTTTTGCGTGTCGATCCACTCGGCACTCCGCTTTTACGACTGCCACTAATATCAATCGATCCGCATATACCGCGGCTAAATGCAGATCGCAGATCGAGCAACAAATTAATTAACCGCCGATCGTAACTCTCGCGCGCCAGACCGGACAACAACGCCAGCGATTGGCGCGTTGCGCAACACGCATTCGCGGATTTGATTAATGAATTGCATGCTGATTAATGAATGCAAATGGCTTCTAAGCGCGCTCTCGCGAGTGTGGACGCGTGTAAAAATGCAAGGCGGAGGCGGGTTTTCGTGCGACAAACCCGGGCATCGATCAGTCGTTAAAAACACGAGAGGGTCGAGCCCCGCGCCTTTCGTGGACCTCTTCGGCCGGCTCGGTGGTTTCCCCGCGTTCTGCGCCACGCCGCGCGGAGGAACGAGAGGCGAGCGAAGAAGGTGAGAAAGCAAGAAAAGGAGATAGGCCGCGGTCGTGCTGGACTTGCCTCCTCTTCCCCATAAATACGGATTTAGTCGCGCGGTTTACGACCGAAAACGTGTCGAGCCTCGCGAGCAGAGCCGCGCCTAAATTATTAAAGTCGTAAACGATCGAAATCGTCGTTAAGCGCCGCGCGAAGAAACCCATCGGATCATGCGCCCCTCCCCCGCGCCCCCTTCGACAAGGATCGTTTTTCTCGAGGTTTCATTGTTAGGTCGCGTTAGGCGGGCCCCGATAGCCCCAAACAAGAACGCGGCACCGATACGATCTGTCGTAGGCGACAGTAAACGGGTTAACCGTCACAATTTTTGCGATGAATTTCCACGAAACGTTCGCGTAGATTAGACTCGAAGACGCGGTGACGAGACACAACAGATAATCGCGGCGGTGACTGCGCGTGCCAGTCGTGCTGGAAGATTAATCTCTACTTAGTTTTATGTCGGCATCTTAAAAATAGTATTTCTATTATTCATAAACACTCGTCTATTCTCACACATTGATGTTGCGGCAAAATTCGTTTCTATAAAGTAGGTTAGGATGAGAGACCAAATTTGGAGCAAATACCAAATGCGGATCAAAAATTTGACGTGAATGAGTGATACTTTAAAATTACTCGCTTAAATTTTGCTCTCGTATGTTGATAACTTTATTCTATATCGTCACTGTTATAAAAGGCATCGACGTTTTTATTTTTGCTCAGTGAAGAAAAAAAAGAAAGCATATGAATGACAGTAAAGGTGGCGGTTCAGTCGGAGCGTCTTTCGAAGGTACATAAGCAATATCACTATTTGCTTTCGATCCACTCCAAATATCTTTATGAAATTTTACAGAAAGTCGCAAGAAGATGTAACCTTTTGAATTTTTAGGTCTTCTGATTTTGTATAATTCAAGGAAAAAAACGCGAGTGGTGCCGAAATTTAATATTTATTACCGCCTGAAACTTCTACTATTAAACTTATGTTGCACTTTCACTCGTACACTCTCTTACAGAGAAGGGTTTTTAAAATCTGGTCCAAATTTGGTTGCTACTCTGAACAAAAATTGATTGTAGTCAAATTTGTGACATTAGAAATTTTTTAATTATGCTCACTATTACGTTCACAATTCACGCATACAACAGATTAATGTTATTGATTATAGAATTGAAACATTTTTATTTAATATTGCCATTTATTAAAAAATAAGAGAAAATTGAAAGATAAGATATGCTCTTTGAATATCTGAGATCGAGAAAATAGGTCAAGATAGTAGTAGATAATCAAATGACGCAGTAAAAAAACAATGTAATTAATGAACCGAAGATGAATTGCATAAATTGCTGAAGTGACTTAAAGGTTGCATTAATGTCGAATGATTCGAACAAAGAAGTGCGAATGTGTAACATTAGCATATTCGCAGTTATCCGGGTTTGCTCAATGTGTTGAGCGACCATAATCGTTACGATAATTACTAGGCCGTCGTCACATTTATTTCTGTAGACGCATCCGTGCAAAAAGTCCGAAACAACGCGTCACGTTTCCTCGATAAAACAGAGACGGGCAGCGCGCGCGCGCGCGCGCGGCAAGAAACGCGATTAAAATTTGTAATTAAAATCAGTTGTGGTATATTACCTGTAGACAATGTAGCCAACGAATTGCAACGTGGTTAGCTTACGGCGGTGCAACGGGCAAAAGATTTAATTGCCACATAATTACCCGTTATTATCCGATGATTGACGCAACATGTTTTATTGCCGTGCATCGCCGCGATAAGCATTCAAATTGAAACGTGGTTACGTAACGCAGCCGTATCAGGTAGTCCAGCGAGGAAACGCACACGATATGTCTTAAAATAAGGACTCCAGCTCTCCGTTCAGCCACGAGATATAAAATATGAACCGCCGCTCGCGCGCGCGATCGCTATAAATATCGTTCCCAAGATTTCCTTATAAATAGAACAGGAATAATTCAGTTGCACCTTCATGCACCGTTTTTCTCGCCGTGCGTTAAACGAGGTGCACGCTCGTAATGGCGCTTAAGAGTCCCTGCTTTGTCGGGCCTCGTTACTTTGTAATTTACTGCTTCCCTTTGAGAGTCGCATTAAAGATTTCCTCGCGGCACGGGCGCGAAAGAGAATGCGGGATTGCGTGTAACGATGATACATGCAAGCATATCGCGTCGCCGTATCAAAGTGCGAGTGAAAAAAAAGGGCCAGAGAGAGAGAAAGAAAACGAAAAGAAATACGCGTGTGTGTGTGTGTGTGTGTGTGTGTGTCGGAAGAAGCGACCACCCGGTTTTTTCAACGACGATCGTTTACTTCGCAGATATTCTTCGAGTCGAAGCACATGTAACAAGCCAGAGCCGCAAGAAGTTTACTTCAGTTTCTTTATTTTGATTTATTAAAGAACTTTGCAAGAAATTAACGAACTACGTTCATTATCTATTCCGATCAAGTTGAAACTAATAATTTTATCATAGATTGGAGTATATTTAGACTGGTGTTCACATGTCCGTTTCGCACCGATTCTCTTTTTATTTTTATTTATATTATTAATGCGTGAAACTGATTTTATTCCAGGGAATATTTAAGATGCAGTTATAGTTTTTTTTTTTGCTCTTCTGCGTGAAATTTTAAATATTCTGGTAACTGTGTTAAATAAAAATTAATGCTTGTTATGAAGATTCACATTGATGAGAATATATTTATCGCCGACTGCAGGAAATTAATGAGGTGCTGTGGAAATTTGCATATTTGCCTGATATACGGCGAATGTTAAATTATTTCTTTGTGACACCGTGCAACAGTATAAATCGTATAACGAAAAAATAAGGTTACAAATATACGTTCGCGTATATGTATATGCAACAAGACACATATAACGATCAACAGTATATACTTCGGTAATGTATTCATCTCTGCCAATAATTATTCAGACGTGCTCGTAACAAGAACAAACATGATGACAGGAGTCGGATAAACACAAGCGTTGAACACAATTGTTGAAAAAGAAGCGTATAAGCGTAAAAGTTTGTAGAGAGAAAAAGATAAAAATATTTTTCGCTAACGTACTGTCAGATGAATAATTGAACACGCGCGCATACTTGTCAGTTGGAACATTTCTGAAATTATCGGTACAAAAGTCTCTTTCAGTATCTGTAGAAAAAAAATTCTTTGAATCGCATTTTACTTTGGCGAACGTATAGATTTATATTTGACACTCGTGGAATTTATCAGAATTTTACATAAATTTGCATGGAGCAAATCGCTCCTCGGATAATGATATAAATACGTATTTCATCTTGTGATCCGCGCGCGCGACGCGAAAATTTCGGGACGATCGACAATCCCCTCC